TGCCGGAGGTTTCTTCCTGTTAAAAGGGAGTTTTTCCTTCCCACTGTCGCCAAAGTGCTTGCTCATAGGGGGTCATATGATTGTTGGGTTTTTCTTCGTATTATTGTGCGATCTACTGTGCAATATAAAGCGCCTTGAGGCGACTGTTGTTGCGATTTGGCGCTATATGAATAAAATTGAATTGAAGCTTCTAAGGCAATTTTTGCCCTTAGGACAAAGCCTTGTTATGTTTTAATCACTGTTTTACATTGGCAAGTATGTCATTTGTGGATGATGATTTCTCATTACAACCAACTTACCTAACTTTTCCCAAGCTAATATAAAGTCACATGGAAAAATGTTTAAATGCGGTTTTGGAAGCTGCTGGTTAAAAATCAGCTCTTTAATGGTGAAGCTTGAATTTGCACAGAGACAGTAGTTAAAGTTCTAAAGAACTCTGGTTACACCACAGCTTACATTACCGCAAAATAGGCATCAAGCTTGTATATTTGAATTCAATAATGCTATAAATTAAAATAATGAAGTACCATAATAGCCCTAACCATTGGATGGAAAAAAGTTTTTCTAACATGGACCAAAAGCTATTTCTTTTTTCCCCAAAGCAGTCCTTTTTGCCTGTCTCCAAAACATAGAGGGCTAGTATTTGATTTTTTCAGATTTGGGAAACAAAAAAGGAAAAATTTACAAGAACTGTAAGAGTGAAATACACAATACCCTGTGTGAAAAGTAAAAAATAAAGAGGAGAAAGAGAGGTACGAGGAAAACCTATCAACTGTATGCTGCTGTTACATTTTACTTATGTTCATCTGTTTAGGCCAGGCAGTAAATACTTTAATAAAAACTTCCTAAGTTTCATGTTTAGAATAAAACTTTTTAAAAAGTAACAAAAAACAAGCTTTTATTAAGGTGAGGCTGAAAGTCCAAAATCAGGGGAAAAACAAAATGCATAAAGCCAAAATGGAACAAATGAGGGATAACACACAGGCAGATAAACAGTACAACACAACAAAGGACTAAGGCATACAAATGGCTTAAATACACACAGAGTTAAGGAAAGAAATGGAAAACACCAGAGTATACAGCAGAAAGTAATTAGGGACATCAAGACACGGGAATCAAAACTAAATACAACAAACACAAGTGAAGAAAATATCAAAATAAAACAGGAAGTAACTAAACTTTGAAACATCTAACACCATGACAAAGACTTAACAACAAGACACAGGGAAGACAGGGGAGGCGGGATGACTTAGAAATAATAACAATTCATGTGGATTACATAATAGGCATAACTAAAACTGAAAAACCTCAGAATGGAATCATGGAAATAAAAACAAGAATACAAACTCTGCAAAATCCAAAGAAGAAGCATTCCAATAATGTAAAACTCACTCTCTGGGCATTATTTACTTGGAACAGTATTGTATTTTGTATATATTCATTTTGTTTTCTTTGTTCTTTTTAAAACTACGTTAAGAACTTGTAGTGCAGTAGAACATAATTAAGGGTAGCAGATAATGGATATTTACTTTGATTACATAAACACTTTGGAGAACAAGGCAATAGATAACAGGTATTCATTAGCTAATACCTAGGCATGAATAACTTGAGCTTATTATATAATATTATACTACAGAATATTTTAACTGACTAGCCAACTAATTCTCTGATCCCCAGTAACCCCGCTAGGTTTGGGTTTCGTTTCAAATGCTACATAGGTACATTTCAAAAAACTAGAACATGGTGTATCAAATGAAGTGTCACATTGTGGTGGTACAGTTTTTCCAAAAATCCCCCCCAAAAATATATACATTACCCAAACCAAACTAAGCTCTAGGTGAAACGGTAGATGGACTGGTTCTTATATAGCGACTTTTAGCTTACTGGAGTAGTCAAAGCATTCTATACAACATCCTTATTTGCCAGTTCATACAACCTTTTTCTACACCTTGCTATCTAACACTCACCCACATTTATCCTCTGATGAACATACTGGAGAGAAACTTGGGATTGAGTATCTTGCCCAGGGATACATAGGCATGCAGACTGGAGCAGCCAGGGATCCTACCACCTTCCAATTAGTAGATGACCTTTTCTACCTCTGAGCTACAGCCACTCCGCTGTGAGCCACCAGCATCCACGTGGATATAAAGAGGTTAAAGTTATTCGTTCCACAGAGCACTTTACACTGTGTTTGTCACACCCACAAATAGCATGGCAGACAGTGAGGAGTAACATAACAAAAAGACTTTGGAGGTCAGCATGTTTTCAGCGTTGATGCAGATCAGTGATTTTCAATGTTTCTCTGCAGTGTCGCCACCTAAGGACCTGACAGTGGTGGAGGTCACCCCAGAGACAGTAGACGTATCCTGGGAAAATGAGATGCGTGTGACAGAATACCTGATCACCTATGTGCCCACGGCCTCTGGAGGCTTAGAGTTGGACATGAGGGTACCTGGGGACCACAAGAAGGCCACTATTAGGGAGCTTGAGCCTGGAGTCGAATACCTGATCAGTGTCTATGCTGTGCTCAGCAATAAGAGGAGTGTTCCCGTCACTGCTAGGGTGGCAACATGTAAGTGTAAGATTCTAAAATGCATATTTTAGTATAAATGTAGATGAAAAATTGTAAGAGTGTTATCATATTTCCCCTCACAGATCTTCCTGAGCCTGAGGGTCTCAAGTTCAAGTCAGTGCGGGATACTTCTGTGGAGGTGCAGTGGGATCCATTGGACATTGCTTTCGATGGCTGGAACCTCATCTTCAGAAACACGGTTAGTTCTGCTACCTGACCTCATGTGTTCCACGTAGTAGTTAAGCAATTATTTACACTTTCCACCAGAGGCGACCAATCATTAAGAGCCTAATGTGCATATTTGAGGATGGAGTTTAGAATCTTCCTCAAAAATGCTATAGCCACGCCAGAAGTCAAAAACACAGCAGTTAAAACTGTGAGCAAGTCCTGACAGCTCCAGTGACCATAAAGCACAGAGTGAATGTCTCTGTTTAACACTTTATTTTCCTTTTAGAGGAAAATAAAACCTTTCCAAACAGGGCTACTTGGACTTGTTCAATACTATTAAACCAAATTCCCTGTCAACTCTTAAATTCAGTTGCCACCCAGAATGCTTTTATATATGATCGGACTTATTTTCCCCTCTTTTGCTTTACGTGTGATGCCAGGACAAGTCTTTGTAGTGGGTGCTGATTGGTGGGGGTTTTTGTTGGGGTTTTTTATTTTTTGTTGGTGCTGGCAGAAAGAGGAAGACGGTGAGATTCTGAACTCCCTGGGCCGACCGGAGACCACCTTTGAGCAATCGGGCCTGGGTCCAGGCCAGGAGTACGAGGTCAAACTGGAGGTGGTGAAGAACAACAAACGTGGACCGCCAGCCTCCAAGAATGTCGTCACAAGTGAGTCTCCACATTTATACTGGCTGATTTTTTTTTTTTTTTTATAACAGCCTCCTCTATGTATTTAAAAAAAGAAAAGCATTAACCATTAACCATACTGAACAGACCCTAACCTCTATATTTATGGTCTTGCTTTTTAAACATGTGCACATATAGCATACATTACTTTTGTCATTCATATCATATCAGGATTTTCTGAAGCCAATTGGCATAAAAAAGATTTATCTCAGCTGAAAGATGTTTATGTATTTTAATTTCTAAATACTTTTTGTATTTTAAGCCTGGGCAAATTTTTTAACATTTAGTCCTAAAAAACAGAGACAGTGTCATATACAGAAATAGGAATCACAATTGTCATTTATAGTTGTCATAGTTAAATGCAAAACAAGTTGTTACTTTTCAATATTCAGTTCATTTGTTCCTGGGTTATCTGTCGTGTAGTCAGAATATACTGGAAATACCCTGACATGTCAGCATCAAGTGGTTTGCTCATTCGATAGCATTACACTGCTGTGGTTCAGTACGGGCAGTAAAATGTGATATGGATTTTCAGATGTCTGCTTTATTGACTTTATCTAGCTAAAAGCCCAAAAGGCTTCTACCACTCTGAGGGGATCAGGCCTGAGGATCATGTAAAATGAGGAAACAGGGTTTTAACTGTAACTTCATCAGCAGGGAAGCCAGCAACCAACAGTGAGTTTTAAGGTGTCCTGACTGGGGAATATGGGGAACATTTTTATGTGCACAAGAAGGGAAAAAACACCTAAAACTGGCACTTCTCGTTATTTAACTTCAGCTGCTGCAAATGAATTTTACTTCGGACCTGGATGTATCTGGTTTCACTGGGTAAACAGAGAATGCAGATTTCACTGTTATCACTGTTATCTAACAGTACCGAGTTAAAAAAAACAAAAAACAAAAAACAAAAGGCAACAGAAACATCAAATGTTAAATACTGTGCATCAATACTTTCTGTATAACAGTGTACGAATGCATGAAAATCAGGTCAGATCTTCCAACTTCCAACAACAGTATTGTTCTTTGGGGTACGTACGTGGAGCCTCTTATGGGTTAGTCTATGTGCTTCATTTTGTGCTACCATTAAGATATAAGCCCAGATAGGCATTTTATACTCTTAGAAGAGAGTGAAATACTGTAGCTGTTTCTCTGTGTTTACACTTTCTGTATAAACACCTTGTTGAAGGGGGGGCAGGTATAGCCCCTCACCCTATTAGAGCTGAGATGGGCTCCTGGGGCCTTGAACAGGATAACTGGTGAAGTAAATAAATGAATGAATGAATACATTTCTGCATATGACATTTTTTTCAACTGATATATTTAAAAAGCTTTTTGACACACACACACACACACACACACACACACAATATAAAATGTAATGCATGTTTTATATGTCTTACATTTTCTTAAGCATACAAGTGTTAAACACCACATGGATTATGAGGTCTGGTGTTCTTCTTGTCATTCAGGCTCTCTTAATGTCTCCCATTATGCCAGCTTGCAGGCTATACTCTGGGATTTGCATGCTGAAGGGCTAATTGTATGAAGTGTATCGCTCAGCTCTCCCCTCTCTGTTTCCCCTTCCTACCTAACCCACCATGTGTAGGAGGCACCAGTCAGTCAAGCAGTCAGACTCAGAGGGCAGCTGGTCTCCCAGAAGAATAGTAGCATGACACTCAAACGACACTTTCACAGTCTCCTTAGAAGACAAATCAGTATTAAGCTCAAATGCAGATTTTTCATTTTATCAGCCCCACACAGCGGCTTGACTTTCCTAAACTTGCTTACGTGTGACAAATCAATTTGAGCAGCAGTGAAAAGGCACCCTTCATGGAGCTGGGAATTGATAGTTTGAATAAACTATTAATGCAAACAGGCTGACACATTTTCAGCACCTGCATTACTGAAATGATGATATCCCTCTTTTCAAGGTCTGTGGTCAGCAACTTATGAATAGGCAAGATATGACCGGCATGAAAAATTTCTTTTTCTGCTCATATACAAATTCTTGCTGAACAGAAATCTGTTTTTACATTTTAACTCGGGAAAATGTCAGGTGATTCAAGTTAGGACATTGTCCAAGTTGTTACACCTCATATGTGGCACCTAATACCTCATATGTGGCACACAGCAACTGAGTTTTGCTAATGACATTGTTACCTCTTCTTCAGTGATCGATGGCCCAAGCCAGGTGAATGTTCGTGATGTGACTGACACCACTGCGCTGGTGACCTGGTTCCAGCCCGTGGCTGAGGTGGATGGGGTCACCATCTCCTACGGACCCAGCTTGAACTCCGCCGATCGCACTTTGGTGGAGCTGACCTCTGCTGACACCCAGTACCACCTGGGAAACCTGACCCCTGACACAGAGTACGAGGTGTCTCTGACAGCGCGGCGGGGAGAAGGGACCAGCATTCCCATCTACGAGTCCTTCCTTACAGGTAACACCTGTCATTATTTGGTTTGATGCCCCTCCCCCTCCAGGTAGACTTCAGTATTGAATATACTGCGTGCGCCTATAACACAAAATAATTCTTGTTCGTGAATTAGTACAGCAGCTCTTCATTTTGTCAGAAAGAATGTTTACCAAAAATAACACGGAGGGAGGTTCGTATTGTTGTAGGCATACAGTTTTAAAGAATTACAATTGCCCATTGCATTAACAATTATTATTAACAGCTTTACCAGAAAAAAACTTCCTTTGTGTTTTCCACTCTCTGACATCACTTCCTGAAAGATTTGACAATTTTTCCAAGTGAAATCCCTTATTTTTTATGATGCATTAATTTTTTTAAATTTGCATGTGCTGCCCATTTCAAATCCCCTGGAACATTTCCTTACATCATAACCAAAGAGATCAGCAGGCTGCTGAAGCCACTCTTCCAGTTTTGGTGGTTACAGATCCTGATGCTCCTATTACCACTGGGATCACTTTGGACTTTACCTTCCACATCTGCTCCAGTTGCTACCTCAGGCCCTGGTACTTCTTTATTTTTCCATCCTCCTTCTTCCTGATGTTGCTCCCTGCTTGGATTCCCACATTCATCACAACTGCAGTCTTCTGCCCCATGTCAACCCACCACTATGTCTTTCTGGAATTTAAAGTCCCATGGGACCTTATCCCAGTTGCCTGAGAACAACAGGACTTGGGGAATTTTAACCGATATGTAACACAGATGTTTCTGAACACTATCCCAGCCACTTGGTTGTGCCTCTCAGTATATGTATACACTGTCCCAGCTTGTATCTTATGTCTTGCTACTATGTGCTGGAAAGTCTCTGGGGCACTGTTGTACAGCCTGCAACTTGGACTGTGTTGGCTGTGGTAGACTCCTGCCTGCATCTGGTGCCTAGAGCTTGTGCTTGCATCATCTATGCTCAGGAGGTGGCGGATGGCCATTCTACTCCTGAATCCATATCTGTATCTGCTCTATGTGATGCGATAGCTTAGCAGGCTGAGGCCTTTGCAAAACAGCAGTGGTGACAGTGTATCACCTTTGGATATTCCAAACTTAATAATGCCTCTGACTTAGTTTCCAATGTTGTCTTTCACAGTTCCATTGAGTTCCCGATGAAAGTTACCACTGCACTATTAGAATTGTACAGTATACAACACTCTAGTATCAATGTGATTCTTTCTTGTAACCGATCCATCCATGGATGAATCATTTCATTGCAGAATTGAGGGAACAGTAAAACAGTAAAGGCTGATTTCAAAATGATCAGTATCTATCTATATGTTGGTCCCTGTCCAGACTTTCAATGTTTAAAGATGACCATACCTGCTAGATATGTAGAGAAGAGATCTTTGCACCCTGATTGTAAATACGTGAAAGATTTTTTCTTCTTTTTTTTTGGAATGCATAAATGTTAAAAAGGAACATAAAATTGTTATTCTGACACATTAGGGTTATCACTGATGATGATTTAGACCTCAGAGAGTTAATGCATGAAATCTGCTATTATCCATTATATATTACTGCTATTTTATAATATGATGATAAAATAATTATATGTGTGGCTTCTACCAGTACTGACATGAACCTAAAATTGTACAAAAAAGATTAACAGGCGATATATGCAAGAGAACCAGGACCAAGAATGTGGAATGCACTGCTACTCCTAACAAGTCTTACAGTACATGTGGTGCACAACATATCCTTTGTCTTAATGCATGGAATAGAGAATTCTGCTCAACTAGCCTAATGGATCTTACCAGCAGCTATATTTATAATGTGGCTATTACTGTAAAAATGCCGTACAATAAAGCTATAATTCAACAAAAATGTCTTCAAGGCACTTTACCTTTAAATATTAGTGAGAGAGCCCCAACAATCACTTGAGGTTTTGGTGTAAAGGGAACTTCTTGTTTTTCCTTTATTCATAAATGAGAAATCCATTTACGTTTAGGTCAGGGTAAGGTTACATCTATCTAAAGTATACTTCTGCATTGTAGACCTGGACGCCCCCAGAGACCTGCAGACGGTAGAGCTGACAGACGAGAGCATCACTCTTGAGTGGAAGAACAGCCGTGCTCAGGTCGACAACTACCGCATCAAGTATGGACCTCTGTCTGGTGGAGAGCACGAAGAGCTGCTGTTTCCCCCAGGACCTAAGGACTCCACTCAGGCCAAGATCACTGGTTCTGTATCACAAACAAACATCTATCCAAATAACATACTGCTGTTCAAAAATAAATCTATATTAGCTGTATTATATTAGCTGTCTATGTAGCTTATAAAGGCTTAACAAAGCACAGTTAATTGGAAAATGGTAGCATGACAGATTTTTGGGGGATTTCTGTAAATTTGCAAAATGTTAGGAAATTATTAATTAACCATTTTATTGGTATGGATACAGAATAGTTATAGTGATTAGCTATATATAAGCCTACCTACCTTGTTCTTCCTGTTTCGTTATGCCCATAAACTGTTTATGCATGACCAATGGTTTGTCAACTTGGATTTTCAAGCCTTTAGCGTTGTTGCCCGTACCATGTTGGCATTGTGAACCAAAGGTAACAATATATGGGTGGGAATGTTGAGTGGTAAGTTAGCAGCTAGTGCTAGCAAGCTTGGTTAGCAAACTGCATCGGTAAGGGTAGTGCATTTAGGACAGGATGTGATTCAGGTGCAGCTCAATGACTCTACTTACATGAGGTGGAAGCTAGCGGAAAGCTGGTGTTCACCATATTATTCAACTAATTTATATGCACTTGTTTCATTTCAGCTTAGTGTGGGATTCTCTGCTGTGTTTTACATGTAACACCTCTTTATGCACACAGAGTGGAAAAGACATGTGAACATTACGCAACTGCAGTACAAGCCTCCCAATAAGTGTATATCTAAGCCCAACATATCAGGTCTGTTTTTTAACATTCACAACTAAAGAGAGGCCAGCAGGGAAATGTGCTGTCATATGCTCAGTTAAAGCATGATTCAAAGACAAACTTCCTACACATCAATTAAAAAAAACACAAGGGAATTTGGACAGATCCTGACAGCTGAGTAGATGACATTTGCAGAAAAGTAAAAGGTTTATAATATAACACAGTGATAGTGATTTATTAGCCATTATTGCAGATTTAATATAGTAGTTAATTGGAGCTGAAAGGATAGATTATAGAGCTGTCCTGAAAATGACTTATAAAGGATCATTTTGTTATCCATTAACAAAGTTTTGATACCCTTTGTTTGACTTAAAATTGGTTATTTTTCTCAGAAACTATCAACCTCAATTGATAGTAAAGCTCTCAGTACCTTAGTGCTATCATATACTCAGTGGGCACTTTTTTCCATATACCTCAGCAGGAACATGCAGTTCCACATGTACATATGCCCACAACTAGCTGCTGTAGTTGAAACAGAGCATCTGAATGGGGAAGAAAGATGCCTGAAGAGACTTTAAATGTGATGTGGCATGATTGTTGGTGCTAGATGGGGTGATCTGAGTATTTCAGAAACAGCTGATCTGCTGGGATTTTCCCACAAAACGATCTTTAGGTGTGGGCCACTGAGTCATAGCCCCTCTGGGTGGAAATGCCTTGATGATGCCAGGGGTCAGAGAAAAATGACCTGCACAGCTTTGAGCTGACAAAAGTTACCCAAATAAACCACTCATCTTCTAAGTATGAAAATACAAATCCATACCACATTGTATCACTGGGTCAAGTTAGTGGTGATGTGTGGTTTCTTAGCACAATTTGGGTCTCTTAGTACCAATTAAGCCATAAAATTGTTGTTGCTGACCAATAGTGGCTACGCCTTACGTCACAGAGCAGGTTTTCTATCGGTTAGAAGATTAGTGGATTGATACCTAACTACCCCAGTCAACATGCTGAATATCCATTTATTCTTCTGTTTGCATCCATCGGACTGTGACAGTGTGTGCAAAGATAAAAGATAAAGACAAAAGTACTGTGAAAGTGTGTGTGACAGAGGGACTAAGTCTTACAGTAGAAAGTGTTGTAAGACTTTAGCTATTTATTTATTTATGACCATAGAGTTCCCATCTTCTCACGGTTGCTGCCAGCAAGATAACACAAATCCTCTCAAACTTGTTTCTTAAACATGACAATAAGTTCACTTCACTCAAACGGGCTCCATCGTCACCAAATGTCAGTTCAATAGAGCTGGGATGTGGCGGAAAGGGAACTCCTTATCATAGATGTGCAGCCAACAACTAGGTGATGATATCATGAAAGTATTTTTCCAAAATCTCTGAAGAATCTTTCCAGCACTTTGTTAAATCGGTGCCATGAAGAATTGAGGTACTTCTGAAGGCCAGCTGTGTATAGCAAGGTGTACCTGTGAGTGTTTAACACTCACCAGGTCACAAGTGACCTATTTAGCGTTAGCAGTAGGGTTTGGGTTAAGTTCATGTCCAACCCTTTTTCTAAAAATTTCACCTATTTGAAAGAGCCAAATAAAAAAAAAAGACAGTTAAATACAAAATCTGTAACTCTGTATCAAAATCACTGTAAGTTTCATTCTAGTTTCTTAAAATTACATGTATAACTTGAAGTACAAAACCTAATCCTTATTCCTAAACAATGCTGAAAGAGGGAAAACGAGCCATTAACAAAGCCATGACTTACAGCGATTGTTCCTTAGTTATGGAGAAGGCATCATGGACTTTTCCACAACCCATTAACCCAGATGATATCTTTAATGTCTTATATAACTGCTATATCAAGAGAATAAGTAAATCTTTGTTAACCTGTACTAAAGGTTTTGTCTAATCAGGGATTTTGTAGTTACTTCTTGCCAGTTGTTTCACTCAGCTGTTTTCAGGGTTTGTTTTGCTGCTTTGTGATCATGTTGGCTCATTAGTATTATGCATCCAAATGGCACAGCTGAAAGGCCCCTGTGGAAAACTGAATGATACAGTGTGAAGTGTTTATTTTCCAAATTCATGGGACAAGCGTTTGTGGGACTCTGTGTTAAATGGCTAGAGTTATTTTCAGCCTGCTCATTTTCCAAGACAGGTTCTCTTTGTTTTGTTTTGTGAAATGTTTGCTTGTCTACAAAAGACCCACTTTATTAGAAAATCACCCAGGAGGGGCTTGGCATTGAGACATTAATTGGAAAACATTGCTGCTTGTTTCGCTGGGAGACTTTGCTCAGACAAGAATAGCAGGCACATTTTTCATCTCTCTGCATTGCTGACATTAAAAAGCTATGCTTTGAGGCAGATGAGTTTTGTTTTTATTGTTTGTTTGTTTGTTTGTTTCTACACTGTGCATTCAGCATGGTAGGATTAGAAACCATGAGAAAAAAGACCCCCAAAACAAGCTCGTAGTGTCTTTGTCTGGCCACATTCTTTGTCCTTGGGAGGCCCGGCTCATGAAAATAAAGCACTGTGTCCTTTCAGCTGACGCCCCCCTCTGCTCCACACACACCTCAGCACTTCTTTCACACACTTATTATCTGTAATTGCCTTCACGCTCGTGATTTTATTGATAATGAGTTTCCTGGGCATTAGGTGTAATTTCATGCTGTAAGGCTCTGTGTGCGATGACCTCTGTGGGAGTTAATAAAGGCGATCAGGCCCAGAGAGGGCTTAATTGTAGAGACTAAAGGGCCTCTGGAGCCTGCTATATCATAGCAAGTAGTGTTTCTGCTCCGCAACAAGGGCCCTATAGATCCATCAATGCAAATATAACACTGATGTTCTGCAGCGAGCGCAGGCTTACCATGAAATGCACTTAGGCTGCAATCTATTGTGCAATAAAGCCACAAGAGAGTGTTTTTTTGTGCATTTGCCATAGGCATTGGAGCCATTAGCTGAAACAGCTGGCCACTTGACTACAGAGGCTCCCTGTCGTTCATTTGTTGACACCTCAGTGGATGTGAACAAGCAAAACATGACATAGCTTTTTATTTCCGTATCAGTGTTTTTAATGTTACCCTGTTCTGTAGGCCTGAGACCCGGCACGGAGTATGGGATGGGTGTGACGGCAGTGAAAGATGAGAGGGAGAGTCAGCCCACGACGGCCAACGCTGTGACCGGTGAGATGCTGACACTGACACACTGTTTTTAATAATCACGTTCTAATCACGTTTTAATCACGTTTTTGTGATGCCTGCTACACTGATAGAATTTATATGCTAATTCTACAAATTGATATTTAAAAAGAAACATTCATTTTTTGGACAAGGCTCAAGTTTTGGTTCGAAGGATGTAGTTTACCGTAGTGAGAGAAGTCAGGGTGGCACCCACCACTCCTCAATATTCTTATGAATGTTTTTGGCTTTATTCCCTCACGGCTGAATCGTGTGCTTTATTGCAAAATCTGCCATATCGTTATGAGACAGTCACCTTTTCTTATGCATGCTAATGTAGACAGGAGGTGCATCCATTTTTAATGTCTTTAGAATTGCTGAATTTTCAACAGATTTTTCAAATTGATTGATATTCATTTGGTATTTATTTGATCCTATAGACAGAATATTAGAACAGGTTTTAAAGCCAGGTGGCCCACTGGGCCTAAGTTGCTCTATAGCTGTTACATTTACTAATATATCTTATTAGCACTAATCAAGAGAGGTTAAATCATTTGTCTTCCTAGAATTCTGTGGCCTCATGCTGGAATATCTATAAATGTCTTTTTTTCTGAATGCGACAGTTAGCAGTTAATGTTATAATGGATAGATAGTCTTACAACTTTTCTGATGGGTATCCTATAGTATATTTAGCATAACAATAGTTTGGAGACTAAATAATCAGTGTTTCTTGACTACAATTGTGCACCAAGCTTTATTCCTTCAGAATCTATTACCTCTCGATAATTCTGCCCTCTTGTTTCACTGCTCTGATCAGTTCTTTCAAATCAGATCTAACCACGATAACATATTGCTTTTGCATGCCATCAAATGATGTTTTATTAACTAGCATAGTAGTGGACTTTAGTAAGCATCAGTAAGGCAGCAAAACAAATCTAAACAGGAAAATGCAACTGTTGAAAAAAGGTCTTCAGTGTAATACCTCCCCTCTTTCACACACCATCAGCCCTCGATGCTCCCAAAGACCTGACTGTAACAGAGATGACCGAGACTACTATGATGCTGGAGTGGAGGCGTCCCTTTGCCAAACTGGACTCCTACAGGCTGGTTTACATTTCCGCTGATGGTCACAGGGCTGAAGAAGTGATCCCGGGCAGCTCTGAAACTCACACCCTGAGGGGCCTGACACCCGGCATGCTGTATACCATCAACATCAGTGCAGAGAGGGGCCGCAGAAGCAGCCTACCCGCCACCATCTCAGCACCCACAGGTCAGCACGGCTGAACACATGTGAAAAGAGAAGTTTCTAGTAAAGCAGGAGTGGTTTGTTTGACATTATAGGTTTTCTGAATTGTCTGGCAGAAAAAAACGTAGAAAGAAAAGAGAAAAGAAAAAAGCGTAGAGAGAGGAAGCCGAGCAATCTTGATAGCTTTTCTGCTGGCATTTATGCCAATGAGAAAACATTTAACATTTTCAGACACCCAGATAAGAAATGATATATAACCTATGTTAGCATTGCCACCATCCACTCCACATTTATTATACTCTGTCTCCGAACTGTTAGCCATGGCACTTGTGAACCCTGTGGTTAGTTTTGGCCAAAGCACTTCCACAACATTGCTTATAATGTAATACCACACAAAAATAACTTAAAATCTGAGCAGGTAAAAACAAAATGAACCTGCATACCACTAGAACTAAGTCAGCTCTTAGCTTAAGTTGAGACTTGGTCTGCATAATTCTATTGCCTGGTTTCAGCTGGCGATGCGTGACAGACTCACTGAAGTTCTTATTGACCAGAGGTTTATTTACATGTCATCATTCGTTACAGCAGCCACACTGACGCAATGAATTGAACCCATTGTTTGCTTCTCAGTTCAGTGTCTTAAACTCCCTCATTCCCCCATTGATAGACTGTGGGTTTATTTTTTCTATTTTCTAAGTTTTCCTTGGAAGAAAAGGCAAATAAGGTGATGGTGGCAAATTTTTCATGCTGTGGTCTGAGAGCCTCCAAGGCAAATATTTCACTGTTAAACCTTCCAGTTATGTAACAAGTGTTCATTAAATGCATAGTTACAGGCAAAAATTGATAACCTTTGAGGGAAAAGGTGAGCCATGGGAATAAATATTTTTTGATACGTTATTGGCTGCTGCACCGTGCTCTTTATGTTCACTTGTTTGTGTGGTCATGAATAGTACATATGAGTGAACCCCTGAGTACGTGCGTTGTGTATTGGTAGGTTCCTGAGGCTTGGGGTAGGGTTGGGGGGTGGTTGTATGGATATGTGTGCGCCATGCACAATGTTCATTCATGTGATAATTGTTGGCGTGAGCCCCGCTCCCCTCTGGGTTTGTGCGATTTGACCACGATGAACTGTGGGTCTGTCAGATAAAAGGCCACATGCTGGGACTCCTGTTAAAACATTGTCTCTGAAATCAGCAGCCCTCTAATCCACAGCCTGGTTGATACTTTAGCCTTTATCGTATCCAAACACGTAGTGAAAACACAGATCATGCTCTTGTTGAAGGAGGGGCTTAAGGAAAGGGGGGGGTGGAGTGAGGAGTCTGGGAACCTTACAGTCATCAAAAAGTATCAAGAGTTTGATGTCAAGTCTTTCAGATAAGTGTGCAGGGAAATAGTGGCAAACCAAAACGCACCTTTCAAAATCCAAATAATTTTAGAAGCAGGATATACAATTTAGATACTTTGCAATTAAAAAAAAACAAAAATAGGGAAATCAGGTGCCACAGGCAAGGATTATCATAATTTAAACTAATCAGCTGACTGAGTTTGGATCACAATATCTGACTTCCGTGAATATGCGCATATTTGCACAAAGGAAAACTAAACCCACAGAGTTACCCTATAATCAGCTGTCCTGAAAGCCTTTTACAAAGTGTTGACATATTTGGATTTTGGCAGTTGCTGCAAATTCTGCCAAGAAGTCAGTTTATATGTGACTGTTTCCATCAAATTTGATTCATGGTACATTAACAACCTAACATAATAGAACAGAAAGAGAAAGCAAAACATTGTGACTAAAGCAAGATCAATGTCCTGCATGCATTGACATGATCTGTAAGAAGGTCTGGACACTGTCTGGTGGAGAAGTTCAACTATCATTCTTTAAATTAACACACTGAGGATGAATGAGTATCAAATGGAAGATATCCATATAAGAAGGTGATATCTTAGGGGACCATTTGATAATGTCATTGCACACATCTTCAACCGCATGAGCAGATTTTAAGGGTTCTCTCAAATTCAAGAGAATAAAAAAAGACATTCCCATCACCTCTGTAGTAGACTTTAACTAGACCTTTAAGATTTAATACATATAGAGTAAAACTGAATTTTGTTTGAAAAGCAGAAGTGCTATGTGTGAACAGCATCTCTGTAGGACTTGCTGTGGCCGTTGCTACATTCTTATGTAGAGAAGAAACATAAAATGCAAAACTAGACAAACAAGCTTAAGAGAGATTTTTGTAAAGGCTTGTTTTATATGTTGAAAATTGAAATTTCATTCATCTCAATTTAAAGCAGCACACACACTAAAATCTTAGAGTCACGCTTTGCTAAACCAAATATTGAAATTGTGGCTAGATCTCACTGAGTTAATGGGAAAGTTTTTTTGTTTTAAGTTAGATAGTATGTTTTGCCCTGTTAAAGACAAAGCGTATGCTTAAGTTTAGAAGCTAGCTAAAAAGAATTTTTTTTAGCTAACTATAGTAAATATATAGTTAGTTAGGCTAGCTAATAAGATTAGAGATCAACTTTAGAGCCTGGGCGAAGAGAAATATCGGTGAGCCTGGGCTGAATCACTGAACAGGACCTTTAAATGCTACTTGCCTGGCATTTAAAAGTTTGGGCCCTATGAAGAGTTAAACGTGTGCATGGTGAGTATCTGGTGTTAGCTTTTGTGAAACCATGATGTCTTCATCTAAATACAGACTTTTGGTCCTTTTATCAACACCAAGGAATCCATGTGCCAGACACAGCTAAACTAATCGACTAACTGCTATGACATTTAACACGTTAACTAACTATCACTTTGTGCGTTTAAGACAGCCATGAAATTTATAAAAGATGGATGCAGCCAACAGTACCTGTTGGTTTGTAAGGTCCTGTTTTTGAAGATTTGGCCTGACAGTTTTGGCCTTTGACATCTTAGCTTTTTTTGTAAACCTGACATTACAAGCAAGTGACAGATCTGACTGGGACTTTCCATGGACAGTGCATGCAGCATACCTAGAAAATCATATGGCAGGTGAGGCCTAAAGAAAACCCTGCCTTCAAGTTTCTTCTGGTTTGTACCATAATTGTATATTATAACCATAATTTAGTACCTTGCATTTTATTATTAGACCTTGAAGGTATGTCCATCTTTTATATAAAGTCCATGGTGAGGGTCAGTTAAGCTTTTTTCTTTCTTTTTAACCTCAGATGAATTGTGACCAAGTGAAAAGCTAATCTTCACTTCTTGGTTTTCCTACATTAAGTCCTCTGATTTCACATTCAAAAGCAATACACAAGCATTTCTGTAATGGTTTATATAGCACCGCAATGCAACCGAAGCTTACGCTGTCATAGGGATATTTCTAAGGGTTTTACTGATTTACAGTGTATGGTTTTGTTTTTCTATGTATATATATTCCTATATATATATTTATTTTTACAGAGTCGACAAATTCCAAAATTATATCTACTTACAATTATAGATGTGCGGCCCTATGCTTCACCAGGAGTCTACAGGAAAATTGATTGACAATTATAGATGTATGTTAGAAATCACTTAAATCACTTTCTGCTTTTCATTGCTCAGTCCAATATCACAACAAAATATGTACATATATATATGTCCATTTCATGCTTTAGAGAGGCAAAGCATAAAATGGACATGGTGGACCAGCATGTCGATTACATGCTTTGACATAATTCATATGGGTGCTATATAAGGAAAATTAAAGAAAAGATTAGGGTATTTCCAAAAAACAAAAGACTCAATCTCTCTTTATACTGTAGGCACAGAACATGGTCATGCATTTTCCTTGTCCGTCTGAGCTCTCGGTAATCAATGATCAGCTGATTCCAACCAACCCCCCACCTTACATTCCTATTGTCTACCATCCCATTTACTCTCTGCTGTGCCGCACAGTGAAAGAGGATAATGGGAGCCTTGATGTTTACCTGAGCCATCTATCTCCATCTCTTTCTAATCTACTCTGTGAATGCTTGCACACACAATGGACTACAATTACAGGCTGTTCATGGCTCTGCATGGCCTCCCCGTAGGTTTGAAGTGGACAGCGTACTTCTGCCGAACTGGCCGGGCTCCGCTGCACCTTCAAATGTTAATGGCTCATTCACAGCCATTAATGCGCACAAGCTGCATCAGCATATCTGCCCACTGCTCTCTATCTTTATGTCTTCCACTGATATGGTAATATAGAGTAGATGGCTATAGGTAGACAATGATAATGGGGCTATTTGTTCTCTCTGGTCTTTTGTAGTGGAAATATGAGAATTTTTCCATTCTGGACCTTTTCTCCTTTCTCCTGACGGCGAAATGAAATTACTGAGTGCTGGAGAATTGTCTTTCCCCCTACATGTGATTATATAGTTCTTTGTTGGTTGTTATATGTTTCACATCTACATTGTTGTGAGTTGTTGTCAACAGGAAATGTTCCAAAAGAACCTAAAAAAATCTCAAAATATGTCCATTGTGTGATCAAAAACTTCCAGAAATTGGCGTACCCACAAAAAATTTTGCACATCTCTATTTATTTGATAGGAATAATTCAGCTTAAGGAGTACAAAGCGTGACACTGGTAATTTGCACAAAGAGGTTGATTTCCAACTCGTGTCCCCTGTTGGGTTTTTCACCTCCACCATACACAAATAAAATATTCTAATATTCAACCACATAAAACCAAAATGCAATATAGATACATAATGACAACGAATTACAAATAATACACATAATCAGATACATTCATGAAAGGAGATACATTCCTAAAAATAATCTTCACTTCAATAATCTTCATTAAAAAATATAGTCTAATTAATTCAAATGACCTCAGCTCTGATTATTATTATTTTTGGGGGCCAGTTTGCACTAGCTCTCAATTGCATACATATTTTTAAATATGAGTATTTGAAACATTAATAAATGAAATTACAAGCAGCATATTGGTACATCCTAGTAGCCTATCACTAACTGAAGGAAATCCAGGTTAGATCGCATGGTCATACGTACAGAGAAACTGTGTGACTTCCAGTGAGAGATTAAAAAAAACAGCTGTTCTTGATTTTTATAGCACTATTCCTGGAACGTTTTGATCAGCACTTGTATGTTTGTGTTTTAAGGTTTGACCAATATATGAAGCCAGATGTATTTTCTATCATCTTAACATCCACCAGGTTGGCAGTGACCATTCTTTATGGGATTATCTAGCCCTTGAAAAGCAAGCTTAACCCTACCCCTAAAGAGTTCACCGGTGACCTTGTGGATATTAAGCAGTTAGAAGTGTACAAATGAGTTGACCATCGGCTTTGCCATATGAATTGGTCTAACCTTTTGTTGATGTGTTTGTCATCACCCAGAGGAGGAGAAGCCCGTGGTGACCAACGTTACCATCAGCGATGTAATGTGGGACAGCTTCCTCTTGTCCTGGTTTGCCGAGGATGGGGCTTTTGAGTCTTTTCTGATCACGGTAACTGATGCAGAGACGGGCGCTGAGTGGCAAAATCACACTGTGCCCGCTGATGCTCGCAGCCTCGCCATCACCGGCCTCTACCCTACCATCTGGTACAGAGCTATTGTATACGGGGTGTACAGGGGAGCCCCATTAGACCCTGTCATTGCAGAAACCATCACAGGTATCAATGCAGTCAATTCTGGGGCCTAGCATTTTCCTCTGATTTCTTCTTTTTCTAATAGACACAGTCCTGTAATCTGTCCTTCTCTCTGTGAATTTTCTAAATTACTCTGTTCAGCACTGCCTTGAAGTGTGGCAATCACTAATAGGTGTTATACAAACACTTGTTCTTGCATTTTTTTTTTTATACCGTTGGACCTCTTTCTTGATATGCTCAAAAATGTATCTGATTGCAAAGATTTTATTTTTATAAATCTTTGAGAATGAAACTTTTAACTTAGGGATGAAAACAGCTTGTTGTGTTCATGCCCATGGGATTTCTGCAAAGCAACAAATCGGGTCTTATTTTCTTGGTTAGCTTAAGGTTTGGAAATACATTTTTTTAAAAAGTATACATAAAGGCAATTTATCAGCCCTTGCAGTGGAGATTACTCTTTGCAGGGTAAACAAAAATATCTGTGCCTTTCAGACACTGTGAACAATCCAAATCCCCAAGCAACACTCCTTCATCAGCCATCCATCACACGCGTATCCCTGCCTTTGATGCAGGGATCGTGAAATGGGCTAACACTACAGCGCCCACACAAAACTCATTCAATCTATATTAGTCCAGCCGCGGAGCTGCGTTTGATCCACTTGTCAGTCTGCCTGTTGGTATGAGTCCAGCCTGAAACAGCACCTGGTCTGGTATGTGAACAGGGAGAAACACGTCAAATGAGAAGGTCAAGGTGCACTGGTTTCCCCTTCCCCAACACCAGTCATTATCAGTGATTAGCATGCTGTAAATCCCAGTATGTGTCTAATAAGAGGTCTTTAAACATCGAAAGCATATACTACCAAGAATGTTGGAGAATGTAGTTTTACATTAAATAAGGGATACAAAAAATATGACACAATTCTTTACAGGACCATAACAACTGAAATCTGAAAGACCCTTTAGACTTTGACTATCTTAAGCAGGTCTATGGTAGAATTAGGACTAGGATACTGAAAACAGTGGTACTAATGCGATATGGTGTGGAGTCGCTTCTGTTCTGGGGCATAAACGGTAGATAGAGTCAGTCAAAAAAATGTTTTATTTTCTGAGAGTGTACTGATTCACAATTATAAAAAGCAGTGCTTTTGGTATTGATTTTTCACAGCAACTATTATATACTTCTTGTGAAAGGTTTGTGAAATGGTCTAACTTTCATCAGATTAAAAAAATTAAGACCAGTCTAGTCAAAAAGAAAATTTGTGGGAAAAGGCTACAGAGAGAGAGAGAGAGAGAGAGCACGCAGTAATCACAAGCAGGTGAACTCACACACTAATGAGGGTGGGGAAGCCAGGAAGTAAAAACCGTGAAATGCATGTGCTCTAATATAAAACGGGATGGAATGAAAGAAAGATCAAGTGTAAGTGCACAATGACAGCACTGTCAATATTCAAAAACACTGAGGTAAACAGGTAACAGAAACACAGATCATTATAAAGATTTTGTGAAACACATGAAATATTGTGCAGGCTTAAAAGTCAAAAAATAAGTAGCTGAGTATCCAACAGTATCATTCAGCATTTGACTGATGAGGATCAGTCATGTGGAAGAAAGATGGTAGGACTGATGGAGAGAGGAAAAAAACCCTGAGGCTCTTTTGTCACTTTGTGTGAGGCCTCTCTTCTGTATGCATCCCCAGTTCCCTCAAGCCTGGACTGCACTTCATTCTCATGCTGCCGTTGCCCCTGGGCTCTGGTGCTAGGGTGCCAGGGGCTTCTGGGGCCACGCAGAATATGGCATGCGCTCAACACGGCCCATTGTCTGCATGCTAATGGTGTGGCAAAACCATCTTAACATTTTTCATTAGCATCACTTAATCCATAAAACATTCCGACTTGTGAATACAAGCGCTGACTAATTATGTTATGCACGGTGGCCGTCGTCGGTCTGCTGAAGAAGGACACTGCAGGGAAAATAAAGTTGTCGCTGAGGATGGAGTGAGGAAACTTTGATTAACAGAGAGGGTGTTTTATACAATGAATGACTGGAACCACTGAGAGCACCCAGAGAAAGCTCAGTTCAGAATCGTATCCGTACAAGCTATTATCAGGCGAGACTGGGACCAGCCCTGGGGTTCAGCTTGCAGACCCCCTTAGCAGGTTAGCTGGCGCCGGTGTGTACCTCATCCACTAACAGGCTCCTTTTTGTTCCCTCAGGTCTTGAGAGGGGGTGGAAGTGTAGAGAAGGTGGAGGCGGTTGTGAGAGGGGAAAATCAGTAGCAAGCTAACACATGTTAGCTGATGGATGTAGCTCTCTTCTCTCTTCCGCTGACCAGCTGAAGCCGGCTGGCGGTTAATGAAGAGTGACAGCTCCCTGGGATTTGTGTGCTCTGCTTCTCATTTCCACCGCTTTTTCTCACAACAAATGCCTCATGGTTTTTCCCTCACATTAAAAAAAGGGGGTTTCAGGCTAGTTCAGGGACCCCTGAGACCCTCACATTTGGTGTTGTGTTTTAATGAGCAGTGGCGCTGGGCTTCACTGAGCCTTTCTTGAGCCCACTTATATCTACTTCTATCCAGGCTGCTTTAAAAGCTCTGTCCAGTCCGTGTATCTATCTGCATGGCTACCGGAAGTTTCTCTGACTAATTAGCAGCAGCGAACACATCCTCAGGAGAAACAGAGCTTTTTCTCCCACAGCTGTAGACTCCTGCTGTGTCTCAGCCTTTCTTCCTATCACTGTCATTATTAGAAGCTGCTAATGACTGCTTGACTACCGGCTTTTACAAGTTCACATTCACACAACCCCATCTGTATGCACATCTGCAACTCAATCTACTTTAAGGATTTCACTGCTATTTTGAGTTATTTCCTTTGCTTCGAAATTCATAGTTTTGGAAACATAAATCTGAAATGGGACCAAAATTGTTGCTTTTACTAGGCTATAGAGATTTTTATTTTTGCTGTAAAGTTGGACTTTTCAACATTTATTGAGATCATTTTTAATTTTGACAGCAAATTTTGATTTGGTTTTTGCCATCTGAATTCTTTTAGTTTTAGTCAGCTAAATATCATAGGATTTCCTTACATCAAATGTAAAATGTGCCCTTATGTTTAACTTTCTGTTCCTCCCAAGTGTTGATATTTTGTCACATTTTCGCGAGGAACAGGAACTTGTACGGTTTCCAGAAAAATTGAAAAGTTGTACCAGTGTGGAGAGAAGGATTATAGAGGCACATCAAACATTACTGTACAAGGAGATTGCTTCAGATTATATCATTCGTGGCTTTCTACACAATTTATTTAGTTCTGATTGGATCTCATCTCTCTATGATGAAAATTACACTGATTGAGATTTACTTCTTTTGGAGTTAGCCTCAATTCCGCATCTGAGGAAATGCCGTATTTTAAAGCCCAGAAAAGCTATATGAAATCTATACTTTTCTCAGACTTGATAAATTATTCCTGATCACAGTTTTGACTCAGTTTTTTCTTGATTTTATTAATACTGCCATTAAATGTAACAGATCAGTCACATAAGCCCTAAAGACTCCACTTTGAATTTTGTTTCTTTCATGTTGTTGTACTAAAACTCTTCTCTTTCCACTCTGCAAAGTCAAAATGTTATACACCTTTTTTGTTTGCCATGTTCTTCAAATCTTAAAGTACTCCACAGAGAAGCCAAACTGACTATCACCCCTGTCACTCAGAGTACGAACCGGAGGTGCAGTCTCTCCTAGTCTCCGACGTCACCACAGACAGCTTTCAGCTGTCCTGGATGGCCGAAGAGGACTCCTTTGACACCTTTGTCATAATGGTCAGCCAGGCCGAAGGCTTAGACCAACCAAGAGAGCTGGTGCTGGGTGGTGAGGAGAGAACTGCGGTGATGACAGATCTCAATGAGGATACCGAGTACAAAGTTGAAATCTTTGGCCTCATTTTGGGAAGACGCTCCAAGTCTCTCTTGGAGGTGTTAAAAACAGGTACACAGTGAAAAGATGGAACGAGAGGCCCAAGCTGTGAACTGGAACTCTGGATACGTCTTGTCCGTGTAGTCAATGTGGAATGGTGTCATATCCTGTCTTTGGTGGTAACAGCATGAGTAGTAGCTGTGCTCTAACTTTCGTCCTTTATAAAGTACATCTTTTTGTCTACTAACCTGGTACCAAAGCATTACAGTATTTGTCCAACAGACATTTGGGTTGTTTTATGTCTGACAGTACTCCTGAGATGCAGATGAACAACCAGGTAGATTAGGCAGTGCTGTTTTCAAGGCTGATGCTGGATAAGAATCTGACTTTCACGTGGGTTTTACTGAGATCAGCCCAATATTAAAAGTACTTGGTATGGTTGAGATGAAGCAGTAACACTTAGGATGCATTAAATTATAGTATTATTGTAGTTTTGACCTCACGGCATCCACCAGTACACCAGTTAACCACTAAGGATAGGGTTAGATTTGCTTCACATTTGAGTCACAAGCTTAAAAAGCAAGTCAAAACTCCAAAATCACTTGTATATGCCATATAGATGAGACATTCGTGTAGAGGTGTAGATTTGAACCTAATCCTAACCCTACTCTGAATGTTAAGAGGGTAAAGGAGATTTCACTATTCCCAAAGTGGTATTAAGACCTGTTAGTAAATGATCCGGTATAAAGAAGTGTGCATGTGTGCACATGAGTACATCAATCTGAAGTATCAGAGAAGGCCATTCAAACTGCATATTTTCAGTCAAGCCCCACTCAGGACACGTACTTAGCGCTTCACTCTTTTTTCGTTGTGTTGATGTGGTCTTTTATTAACTGTTGTCTGAATGCCCCTGCCAAAGGTTGTCTTTGATATCTTGACTTCATGTGCCGGTGTCTCTATGTAAAGAAGGTGGTGGTTGTCCATGTCATATAAAACTGCTGCCTGTGTCCTCCATCATCCCCCCTGAGGTAAAGGATTTAGTCTTGGGTTGCGTGGCGCATGCTTCACTTTTGTGTTACCATGAAATGGGAGCAAGTTAATCTCTTCAGGTCTGTCACGCAAGATACCGCAGCTCACTTTTAACTGGGAACAGTTCTGTCTGTGTGAGCCCGGGCCTCCGCAGGCCCCCTTTGTCTCTGGACTTCACTCTCTTTTATGCTTTCCTGCTTTCGCTCTGCTCTAAAATGAGTGCCTTTCAGTGGTGGATCTGCCCTGCTACAGTGTCTGTGTGTTTTTTCGTGTCTGTTTCTTCACTCTGTTGGAGGAAATCCTCACTAGAACATGTCAATACTGTTCACTGATTGATGTTTGCTTCTATACAGTGCGTTCTTAGAATTCTAAAAAAGGCAGTACACATACTGACTGATGCTTCTGTTTTTGTCTTTGTCCCCATCTGCTGTTTCTGTCTTCCCTTTGCCAGACCTGGGTTCACCCAAGGGCATTCGCTTCTCCGATGTCACTGACACGTCTGCAACTGTTCACTGGGTGACCCCAAGAGCTCGAGTGGACAGCTACCGGGTCACTTACGTACCTGTCTATGGAGGTCAGTATTTTTATTAGTGCGGTGGGACAGGGAACATTTAGACATGCTGTTCTTAAGATCCTCCAAAAGTCGCACACAGGAGATCTCTAACTATCAACTGCATCCATGATTGCATTAGAAAAAACAGATTTGAATATCTGGCACAGCAGTATGAAACAAGCCTAGATTTGGATGACTATAACCAGCATGGACATTCTCACTGCTTTTAAATTGCTCGTCCATTCATCAGTTTATGTTGTAACTCTTTTGTCCAGACATAGACAGATGCTGCCCTCTGTTGGCTACTGATAAGTGTGTCTACTGAAAATCAAGAAAATTGACCATCCTATCACAATAGAGTCCTGTATATTTTGTGACAAAGAATAAATTATTAACAAATTGGTTACATCACGATGCATGTACAATTCAAAACTCAATAAGTGATCAAGACTCAAATATTTTCAGCACCTAGAAAAATTCCCACAAAAAACTGTATCTGTAAAAAAGGGTTTTTGTTCATCACTAACTTTAACAAGGTAGAATAAATAGTAGGAAAATACAAAGACATATAGACATATAGGCAAGGTTTAATAAAAATAAAATCAAATATAAAATCCATCCACCTACTAGTATTTTATCTGCTTAATTTAATGTCAGTTCACTTCAGTTTTATTTATACAGCATCAAATCACAAGACACTTTATATTGTAAGATAGACCGTACAATATTACATACAGAGAAAAACACAACAATCACATGACCCCCCATGAGCAAGCACTTTGGCGACAGTGGGAAGGAAAAACTCCCTTTTAAAAGGAAGAAACCTCCAGCAGAACCAGGCTCAGGGAGGGGCGAGGCCATCTGCTGCGACTGGTTGGGGAGAGAAGGAAGACAGGATAACAGACATGCTGTGGAAGAGGAAGTGTACAGCCCAGACAGGTGGAAAGTCCAGCAATGAAAAGAAAGAAAATAATCTGCAAACTAATAAGAGTATTATCTGGCAAATGTTTACTTGTTAGACTTGAAGTGATGGTGAAATGCAATATAGAGACAGAGCTGCTAAATGACTTGGAAAAGTAACACGTTAACTGATGGCCAACTGCATGTGTATTGTTTATGGGTATGACAGAAGTGGTTAAATCATTCATCAGTGGGGAAATCTGCATGACTAAGAACAAGAAGGGATGAATGAAGATTCTTCTCTGATGAAAAACAAGTACTTCACTACTTCAGCTAAGTGTTTGTTCATTTATTAAAATGATGTAAGTTATCAAAATTCCCAGGTAACGCCAAGACACTGTCAGTGGATGGTTCTGCATCTCAGATTGTGCTGCCTAACCTGACACCCGGAGTCACTTACAAGGTCACTGTGATTGCTATCAAGGGTCAGAGGGAGAGTGAACCTGGATCTGACAGCGTCACCACAGGTAAAATACAAACAGATTTGCTGGCCACAACAGTATTAGACACTATGTTATAACTATGATATGATGTTGTAGTGTGGCTTTGTACTTTACAAATGTGCACTGTTAAGACAAAGAGAGACAGTTAAAAACTCTGGCTAGTTAAGGTTAATTTTAGCCTAAGCCAAAGCTACGCTAATTAAGCCACTGTTTTCTTTAAAGAAGCTATATGTAGATTCTTGTGTGTAAAAGGTTCAAGCCTTCTGAAATTATCCAAAGCATTAAATGGAATGTGAAGAAACAATTGTGATGATCCAATGTCTAAACCATGTATTGTGTTGAAGTGATAGCAAGTAAAAAAGAACTTAGGTGTAACTGTACCTTTGTGTAATACCACTAATACTAGTGTAGTACCACAACAACTGGCAAGTTATTAAGAACACATTATGTGAACAGATACATGTATGTCATTACCTATAGTGCTATTAAAAGCTATTAAATAGGAGCACACATCCAGAAACATCTCAACACACGCAGTGACAAAAGCTGTCTCCTGGAGTTTTACTCTCATTTTGCTAAGAGCGAGTACAAGTTTCCTATAATTAATCTGTTCAGTTGGTCAGACTCATCCAAAATACTTTTTTTTTCTGTTTCATAAAACACTTAAAATATAATGGAGAGAGAATGTAATTAACAGGATACAAAGTCATAATTAGAGGACTTTGTATCATGATGAGCTAGAATACTAACAAACTTAGCTAACAAATTAGTTGCTCCTGGCTACTATTACACTAATGTATATATCTAACATATATCTATATATCTACAATATCAGAATCAGAATCGGAAGACTTTATTTATCCCCAAGGGGCAATTAACAAACAAACAACAGAGCAGCATAACGTTGAAGATAAGGACAATAAGAACAGGCAATAAGAGTGAAATAATAAATACACAGAATATACAGTATATACAGTTTTAAAATTACACAGTTTTAAGATTAAAGTAACTGAAAGGTGAATAAATAACTAATAATATATGTTAGTGTAGTTTTCTCTATCTGGTTTTGTTTGCCAATTTGGTCAGCTCACACTCTTAATTTAGATGGTATGTGTGTGACTGTGTGTTACAGCTCTGGATAAACCACGTGGCCTGAACGCAGTCAACATCACGGACAGTGAGGCTCTGCTGCTCTGGCAGCCCGCCATCGCTACAGTGGACGGCTATGTCATCACCTATAGTGCAGATTTAGGTAAGTACTTATGTGTGCACAACTTAGCACAGACAAGAACAAAAGAAATTTCAAACAAAAGACAGTTCAAATTTTCTTACTAAAGCTACATGACCAATATACCAATACTGAGTTGGCATATTAAAAAAGTAACATGTGACACGTAAGTCATAAGAAAGTTTGCTGCCTTTTATTTAAGCGCTCTTTTATCTTCAGAGGTGTCCTGGCTAGACCCAGATTTGAGATTTACTGTGAAGGTTTGGTTCTTGTGTCTTGGTTCAGACAGATATCATAGATAAGTGAACTAAAGTGAATTCAGTGGAGTATTTATTCATCATGTTCAAGTTGACCGATAAAGGCTGAATACTTCCTCTGCTGGTGTTTGTCCTTCAAGTTTGATTTGGTTTCTGTACTTTGTGTTTCTCAGTGGCTCCAGTCATGGAACGTGTGTCAGGAAACGTGGTGGAGTTTGAGATGAACTCTCTGGCACCAGCCACACACTACACTGTGAAGGTCTATGCTGTGCGGGACTTGGCCAAGAGTGCAGCCACTACAACAGAGTTTATCACAGGTGTTGTTTCCCTGGTGTTTTAAATAATTAGTTAAACTAATACAAATGGGAAAAGCTAGTGGAAATCAAGCAGTCAGTCAGATTTCTTTATTATAACTGTAACCGTATGTATGTCAAAATCTGAGAGAGCAACATCATAAGAACCGACTAGTGCTGCTGTGCTCTAGCTTGCAGGCACTACAAAGAAGGCTTCATGACTGTTGTGAAGTTATGTAGAAATCTGTAAACAAATGTAAACAAAGTTTGGATTCCTTCAGATGTGGATGCCCCCCAGGACTTGGCAGCCAGTAACATCCAGACAGAGAACACCATGCTGACGTGGAAGCCTCCTCGTGCTGACATCACCGGCTACATGCTCAGCTTTGAATCTGCAGACCGCACCATCCGGGTCAGTACACAACTTATACTGCTCTCCGAAGGCCAATGCAATCCAACTGTATGTTGAGTATTTGGAACATGTTCAGGAATGTTTGTTTCATCCTTCAGGAGGTGGTGCTGAGTCCGACTGCGGTGTCATACAACATGGCTCAGCTCAAAGCATCCACCGAATATACAGTCAGCCTGCAGGCCCTCGCTGGACCAAAGAGAAGCAGAGTGATCACTACTGTCTTCACCACCAGTGAGTAGACTTCTGCACACACTAGAAAGGTTTCAAGTCTATTTATAGTGTTATCAGTAATGCAAGGACAAATAGAATATATAGCCTTTTTACATTCAGTTTTAGAGATACTGAATTAAGCTGATAAATCAGGGTTGTCAATTATATGGCCTGTGTTTAAAAAAAATTTCCAGGAAAGCGTCAAACATGGTCCAAAGGATGACTTTAAGGAATTACAATCTGTTTCTGAACTCTTCATTTCACACAGCCAGAGGTCATCATCTTCATCAGTTTTATGGATTTCCTACTGACAGACTATTTAAACCATGTGGTCACATGGTTTAAATATAAGCCATTGAGCAATGCTAACCTCTCTGAAGTTACAGCAGCAGTGTTTGTAATGACATCGACTGGCTCAGTGTGAAAACCCAAACGCAATTTTTCAGTTCTGTAATCTGATGGTTGATTAAATGTGAATGTTTTCACAATTTGTATGATTTCCACACATTATTCAGGAAACAATAAAAAAGTAAGATGGTTAGTGTTACACTGTAAAAAAAAAAATCCTAAAAAAAACAGTAATATTCCGGCAGCTGGGGCGCCAAAATAATACCATAAAATAACAGAAAATAACTTTCTCATAAAAATACGGTTATTTTCATTAATGACAATACAGTTTGTTGCCCTAATTTTACATGGGATTTTGCCTTTTTCAAGAGCTTTTAAACATTAAATTAGGAACATTTTAATGTGATTAAACAATGAAATTACCTATAAACAAGGTCAATGAATGCGGCAATATGAATAATAATACTTAAATGTACAGAAATATACAGTTAACAGTTGGTTTAAATAATAATAATGGATTGCATTTATATAGCGCTTTTCGAGACCCTAAAAGCGCTTTACAATTCCACTATTGATTCACTCTCACATTCACACACTGGTGGAGGCAGCTACAGTTGTAGCCACAGCTGCCCTGGGTCAGACTGACAGATTTTATGTTATTTTAGTACAAAACTGTAAAATACACAGTAAAATACTTTTATATTACTTTTTTTTTTTTACAGTGTAGTTTTTAAATGAGGTTGAAACTAGATGAACTGTGAAGGAAGACTACTTGCTGAACTGAGGCTGCTGGCTGAAAATGTTAAATTCAAGCAAACACAAGGGTATAAAGAACCTCTCTGCAGCATCCTGGCTTTGCAAACAGGAAATTCTGGAATGGAAAAAATCCTATTTATTTATATAGCATCTTTTCCCCTTAATCATTATTTTGTGTGTGTGTGTGTGTAGCTGGCGTGTTGTACCGACACCCCAGGGATTGCTCCCAGGCCCTACTGAATGGAGACACCTCATCAGGCATGCACACCATCTACCTGGGAGGAGATGAGAACCAACCCCTGCAAGTCTACTGTGACATGAGCACTGATGGAGGCGGATGGATCGTAAGTCACTGGCTGACATACTTGTTGATAATGTGCAACCACTCTTTCGTTTTCAAGATCTGGCACATATTTGATCATCATTAATCCTCATTCCATACTTTGTATTCAGAAATTTTCAGTTCAAATCAATTCCATTTTATTGGTATTGTGCCAAATCACAACAACAGTCATCTTGATGTGCTTTATATTATAAGGTAAAGTCCCTACAATGTTACAGAGAAAATCCCAACAGTCAGATGACTCCCTATGAGCAAGCATTTGGCAAAAGTGGGAAGGAAAAACTTGGTTTTAACAGGAGAAAACCTCCATAGAGGTTGGAAAAACAGTTTCATGGCCAACTGAGACCTGCTCCCGCAATATTCCATGACAGATTAAGCAGATAATAGACCTGGAGTTGATTCCAAGTGCTGAACTTGCATTTGGTAGCTGTTCACTTGAATGCTCAAAGACTGACAAGTGTCAGTGCAAGTGAACAAGGCCAGCGCTATGCTGAAAAAACAAAATAAACCTATCTGAGAGACAGCAGAAATATGTAGGAATGGCCAAATCAAAAATGTGTTACATTTTTGAAAGAAGTACTGCACTGGCCAGCCCAGCAGCACTAAAAGACCCGAAAGACCACAGAAAACAACTAAGTGTAGACCTCTTTCTTTGGCTGATAAAAAACTGTTATGTCTGAGTATAAAAATATCATGAAGGTGAGCTAAGACCAAGCACATAAACAAACAGAACTATCCATCAAACAAGCTCAGATGACCAGCCCAAGAGAAGCACATCAAAATACAAGTGCTTATCTCAATGGACTAATAAAACCAGGAGAAAATGGGTACAAAAACAAATGGCAGCTCACCTTACAAAACAGACTTTTTTTTAGTTCAATGTGACGTGTTATAGCAGTCATGAGGGAAAACCGTTTACCTCTAGACTTTCATAGATTAAGACGTCTTTTTGCAACCACAGCTATGGTCATCTGGTTGCCTTCAAATAGAAAGCAGGTTCAACACTGCACTCTCTTTATCCAGCTCGAGAACTGCTTTCAAGTTTTATACTGTCCATTTGCTTTCCTTAACAAGATTTTTATTAAATCTATTCTTTGTTTTTCTCTCTCTTTGCAGGTTTTCCTCCGACGTCAAAGTGGCAAACTAGAGTTCTTCCGCAACTGGAAGAATTACACAGGCGGCTTTGGAGACATGAATGATGAATTCTGGCTGGGTAATTTTTTAACAAAGAACCACAGAGTTTTCCATAATACACAGGACGTGGTCATATATCAGGGTCCAAAATGGCTGCACACATAAGTTAAACATAATTTACAAAAATGCGGTTCAAACATACAAAAATCCAAAAAGTTAAACTTCCAGAAAGTCTTCCATTTCCAGAAATTTCCACAGCACAGAGTAATAGGACCACACTAAGAAAGTAACTCAGGTCCCAACAGCAAGATCTGACAAAGGCAGAGAAACGGTTCTAAATACACAGAAGGAAAGCTGGCAAAAAGGATACAGGTGAGGATGGAACAATTAAAGGAAAGTAAAAATAATCAGGGAGGAGGAGGCAATCACAAAAGCTGGAAAGGGCAGAAAGTAAAAAAGGGAAAACTAGCATTCAAAGTAAAACGGGAAATGAGCAAACTTTAATTAACAAGTTATAGTTTTAACTACATAGTTTTAAAACTAATTTTTGTTAAAACTATGTAGAGCCTACAATGTAATTTCTGCATGTGGCCAACCTTGTTGATGACATACTTGTATGTGGTGGGCCAAAACACTACTTGGTTAGTTAGTTGTCAAACATAAGGCCCAATGGTCAGAACTGGCCTGGCAAAACTCTAATCTGGCCCGCTCTGGCAGAAATTATGTAATTTTTGATTGTACGTTCATAGGTTTTACATCTTTTTTCTTCTGGTAAAGATCTCTGCCACATAGTAAACCAAAGTAATTCGATAATAAAAGAACAAGTTACATGACAGAAAAGTTGCTGTTTTTTTTACTTTATAATAAACATTTATGTGTAGTTAAACATCTTTACAGTTACAGAAAGGGGAGTTTGAGTTGTCCAGCCCATAACGTAAAATGAGCTTGGATTACAGAGTAGGTTACTGCATAAATGGATGGACATAGGCATAAATTTCATCTAAGAGCTCCATAGATAGTAGTCATTTAAATGCTAAACATTTGTAATGTGTAGAATGATACTTTTAGTTTGATAATAGGATCTTTTGTAAGCCATTGATCAGCTGTCTCCTTTTTCACTCAGGTCTGTCCAACCTGCATAAGATCACAGCCAGCGGTCAGTACGAACTGCGAGTAGACCTGAGAGATAAGGGAGATACAGCCTATGCTCAGTATGACAAGTTCTCAGTCGGTGAACCCCGGACCCGCTACAAAGTCCATGTAGGAGGATACAGCGGTACAGCAGGTAAAGCTAGTATCTGTGCTCTACAGTTTATGCACAGTGATTTAAATGTCTCTTGATACTTTGTCTTTGACACCAGTACTGGCCTTGCAGCGGCGATGCAGGAGCCTGTGTGTGGTAGATGGGCTTCATTTACCTTGTTTATATGCTGCCTTGCTTGTGCTTTTGTGTCACTCTGTTTTGCGATGCACGAGTCAGGTCGGGACTCGTCGGTACAATGTGTAAAATCTCACCACTAGATGTCAGTAGATTGCAGTTTTCTTACCCTTCTTAATTCAAATGCATAATCCTAGTTATGGTGGCGACTTAGGAGAAACAACTCTGGCTGTGTTCATCTGTAGTGAGTGTAGACAATGCTGTGTCTCTCTGAATAAGAACTAGATGAAAAACACCAGGAAACTTAATCACAGCAAAAATGTAATGACTCTCTTGTTTGGCCTCTGTAGGCGACTCCATGACCTACCACCACGGCCGGCCGTTCTCCACCTACGACCATGACAACGACATTGCCGTCACCAACTGCGCTCTGTCCTATAAGGGAGCATTCTGGTATAAAAACTGCCACCGGGTTAATCTGATGGGACGATATGGAGACAACAGTCACAGCAAGGTAATGAATAGTTCATTTCAGCACAACCTACTGTACAGTTATTGCACATTTAACAGGTCACCAAAGGTCCTGACTGGGTCAAAAATAACTGCCTGAATATTTGCTCACAGGCATTTTACAGTAGATTTACATTATTATTATTAATGATTCCACTAATCGTTTTTCATTATCTTGATTATTTTCATGTTATGTTGATAAAAATAAATGTACTTCTAAATCTAAATTTAGAAGGAACAGTTGTAAATGACTAACTTTTCATTGGTAGTGTGCATAATATGAGTCTGGTAGAAACTGCCCTTCTGTTTCACTCTGTTTTTGACTTGCACATCTTGCCTGCCGCCTCTCCAGGGTGTGAACTGGTTCCACTGGAAAGGCCATGAGCACTCAATTGAGTTCGCTGAGATGAAGATCCGGCCATCCAACTTCAGAAACCTGGAGGGAAGGAGGAAACGATCATAAATGATATGAAAAGCTCCGCCGCCACCAATACCACCTTCACCACCACCAACAACAAAAACAACTACTACTACTCTGGACTCCGCATGAACCACCTGGACTCCCAAACCCTCCCACCCTGCAGCAACCAAAGCCACTGCCAAGAGCCCTGCTGTTCTCACATGAAACAAATGCTCCTCGATGTTTTCTGTTCCCTCACAAATCTGCCTAAATCTGCCATATGACCCATCCCAGCCTTTCCCCCCTCTGATATGGCTACGCAAAAATGCTGCCAGTGCAGAAACTGACGTTACAAACTGGACTTGCATCAAACCCCACGAGGTTCACCAAAGAGAGTATCTCCCTCTCACTCAATTCTGACCCCCATCTCTTGTGTTGCAGCATTTGTGGGAAAGCGTGAGCGCAGCTTGGACATTATGTTGTGAATAGTCATTAATACAGTTTCCTATTTCATATCCATGCCATGTCTGGCATTTGACAAAAAATTCTGACTTTTTAGTACAATGCAGTCTTGTTTAGGATCAGGGCCTCTTTCCGAAAAGTGTCAATGCAGCAGGATTATCAGAGAAAGTCTACTCCTTGTACAGCTCTGTACATGTCTCCATCTGATATGAACGTCTGAAAACTGATTCTTCAGATGTCACATATCTCCATCTAACTTGTCATTTGTTTGTCCATGTGCAACTAAACACATCTCAGTGTCACTTTATAATCCCCAGCCTCCCTTCACTCCCATCCCCCCAATAAAAAAATGTAAAAAAGGAAAAGAAAAACCTACGGAAACACATTTTACTCTCTACATCCCATGTCGTTGTGGACGGCGGTGTTTCCGTTGAGTCCTTGAAGGCATCATGCTGTGGCCACAGTATTGTGTTAGCAAAAAAAAGAACAGAGAAGAAAAGCAAACGTGTTTTGTTTCTCTGATGAATCTGAGGCGGGACCTGTTATTCAGTATAAAATGACTTTTGGTGATAACATTTTGTTTGTTCTTTGTTTTTGAAAAATGTGAATACGGTACATATATGTGGAACATGAGAATGTTATGTGATGCTCGAAACTTTAAAAAAAAGGCCAATTTTCAATTGAATTCCAGTTGTCATAGTAAGGTCTCTATGCTTGTGTTAATGAAAATAGTGTTTGGACAGGCCAAAACTAGAGAACTAGTTACTGTTTTTACCCCTTTCACCTCCCCCAAACCCCGCCCCCTACCCTTTCCTGCTATTGCAGGATACTAAACCACTGACCTTCTAAAGAATGCCTGTGTAAATTAAGGTTGTTTTGATTGTTTTGTTTGTTTAAAACTGGGTCAACAGCAGGTGTTTCTCTGTAAACTGTATTACAATAAAACAGTTTGTTTAAAACGACAAATTTCACAAGTTTTATTTTGACTATCCTGGGGTCTACTAGCTCTTTGTCAAAATGGATCTTTGGTGATTACGATTTTACAATGCTGCGCAAATCGAGGTCATTTAGATTAGTTACAATCACACTGGTAAAACAGAGCATGACCAAAATTATTTCAGTTATTTGCAATGAACTTGAAATCTCGTTGCCTTTGAAAGACGGGACTTGGTCGGCAGCCGCTCACGGTCAGTTGGTGTCTTCAAAGTGACTTTGGTACATCAAGATGGCAATAAAGTAAGAAGATGGGGTTGTGATAATATGGTAATTAATTGTGACGAGTCATTAAAAATCGCAAATCTGTTGCCTCGTACATACACCGAAATTCACATTAAACAGAAAAAAAGAAAGAACTCACAATTAAATTCCTCATTTCAATGTAAGCTCTGCTTCAATAAAGACATTATAATTCAAAATTCACTTGAACTACTTATTGTCAGAGTCAGAACCTAACAGATTTGAAGCAGAAACTCAGATTGAGAAATTAACAAATACTCAGATTGGTTGGCAGTCTGTCTGTGTCTATAAATGAGATCGCATTTATGTGCCAACCTTCACCCTGGGAGTGACTCAGTCAGTCCAAGGTGGACTGCGATGAACATTTGAAACTGCTCCCTTTCGTGTGGTTTATACATTTTTCGACTGGGCTAATTTTCAGATGAAATTATTAGTATTAATTAATTATTAATATTAAAAGTAGTATTAAATGTAAGACCCATTCCTAGAACTTTTAGTTTTCTAAACACGCCGTTCTAATGCTCCTTTAGCGGCCAGCCACAGGCCATGTAGTGGAGCTCCGAGCGGACCGATGGTAGTGCAGTATAATCAATCACCGGAAGCTTCGAACGGCCGCTGCTATAAAACTTCGTTTATACGCCTCTTGAGTTCAAAGCATACACCGGGAGAAACGGCAAGAAGCGGACGGCAACAGATGAGCTTAACCTGTTGGGCCACAGGTAACATACACGGTGTGGAGGAAAACGAGGAGTGAGGAAGGCAGCTGCTGCTTCAGCGCCTCTTAGCTAGAGACTAATATGCTAATGCTAATTGCTCTTATGTGTAGAAGAACGTCTAACGTGGAGTTAAAGCGAAGCTGCACGTATTTATTAAAGAATGTGACAAAGAGGCAGATGAGGGCGAAAAACGTGAGGTTCACTGCTGCAACATCCCGACCCGTACTCAGAGACACCTGAACACATCACTGTGAGGTCAGTTTGTTTCGGATCAGAGCAACAGCAGCAGGGGCAGGACGCTGAGGGATACTGTGTGCGATTTTTTTTTTTTTTTTTAGAGAAGGGGACATCCAGGAAATGTGTTATGAACTGAGGCTTCGGAACGATTGAAGCAACGAAGCTGTGATTGAAGTGCAGATTCTATATAAGCTTTAATTGTTTTTAACAAAATTGCAATTGCTGTACTCCTTGAAAGACCTTCGTGCTGGGGGTGTACAGGGGCAAAAACTAGAACACTGCCACACTGACCTCACACTTATGTGTGTGTAAGCTACGAACTTGATACAAAATATTGTTTTTAGCCACTGTGGTGTCACCCATTTGTCTTTCACTTGCCAATTGTGATTTGCTTGCTGCCATGTTTGGGTTTTTGTAGCCATTCACAAAAAAAAAATGTAATTAGGACAAGAGGGTGGAGTGTTAAGTTATCCACTGACACTAGGTAGTCTAGTAGTTGGACCTGTGACCAGGAATTTAAGCCTGTCCCATGTTCTATAGGGATAGGGGGAGCATACACCCTGAACATGTCACCTGTCAATCACAAGGCTACAATGCATCCAGGAAGTCTCCACATTTTTCCACATTTTTTAAAGGTAGTCTTATTCCAAAATGGGGTAAATTCATTTTCCCCCTCAAAATTATACACAACAGTACTCCATAATAGAAACTCTTTTCTATGCAGAACCTCTCAAGCTCGATCGGGTTAGATGGGGAATGTCGGTGCACATCCATTTTCAGATCTCTCCAGAGATGTTCATTCGGGATCAAGTCTGGGCACTGGCTGGGCCACTCAAAGACAAAGTGGTCCCAAAGCCACTCCTTTGTTATCTTGGCTGTGCTTAGAGTCGTCATCCTGTTAGAAGGTCCAGAGGTCAGAGGTCCAGAGCACTCTGGAGCAGGTAATCATCAAGGATGTCTCTGCATATTGATGCATTCCCCCAACCCTGACCTATCTCCCTGTTCCTACTGTTGACAAACATCCCCACAGCATGATGCTGCCGCCACTATGCTTCACTGTAGGATGGTATTGGCCAGGTGATGCTGGCATTTAGGCCAAAGAATTCAATCTTTCTTTCATCAGACCAGAGAACTTTGTTTTCCTACTGCAGAAATGATTTCTCTTTTAGAAGGTTCCTCTCACCACGGGGCAATGTTGGAGCTCTATGAGAGTGACTATCACAGTCTTGGTCACTTCCTTTACTAAGGCCCTTCTACTCTAAATGTTCAGAATGACTGGGCAGCAAGCTCTAGGAAGAGTCCTGGTGGTTCCAAAGTTCTTCGTTTAAGGTTAATGGAGGTCACTGTGCTCGTTGGGACCTTCAATGCTGCTGAGTTTTTTTTTTGGTATCCTTTCCAGATCGGTACTGCGATGCAATCCTGTTTCAGAGGTCTACAGACAATTCCTTGGACTTCATGGCTTGGATTGTGCTCTGACATGTGTCTTTCCAAATCATGTCCAATCATCTGAATTTACCACAGGTGGATCCCAATCCAGTTTTAGTAACTGACAGATGATCCGTGGAAGCAGGATGCAGCTGAGCTCAGTTTTGAGAATCATGGCAAAAGAAGTTTGCCCTTAGGCACCCTTCCCGGGCCTGGCTCCAGGGTGGTGTACCACCACACCACCAAGCTGTGCTCGTACTGCACAGCTTGGTGGTGTGGTGGGTAGTACTATTGCCTCAGACCTGCTCCTCCACTAGTAGGTTGTGGAGTTTGCTGTGTTGGCAGTTGGCCATAAGTGTGAGTGAAACTGGTTGTCTGTCTCTCTGTAGTAGCTCTAGATAGCAAGGGCTCCCTCCATAAACTGTACGGATACAGCAGACGCATCTGTTTTAAGTAACGGTCTAATAGAGTCCTGTAATGTCACTGACTAAAACTTCCTGTTCTTACCTCAGACAAGGTGTTGTATCTTCCTCCAGAAAGGGCAGATAGCACAAGAATGATAGAGAAGTCAATTTCATTGATGTAAAGAGGTGTGTTTTCTTTTTGTTTGTTTTTTGTTTTTGTTTTACTATTACATTATTATTATATTAAATTACTATTAATCAGAGGTTATATGTTCCTATTTTACAGTCACAGCTGTGTGTCAGAGATGCTACAGCTCCCCCTGGTGGTGACAGCCCAAGTAGACCTGCTCCTGGTGCTGGTCTCCTTGCTGGCCTTCTGGACCAGGCTGAGCCATCTTAGTTATCCCAATGCTGTGGTGTGAGTGCATCTGTTTCACACACCTGAACATCATGTGCACCCACATACAAACTTACGTACCAAGCTTCATTCTGTTATTAACTGATTTTTATACCTTGACCGTTGTGCAGGTTTGATGAGGTGTATTATGGTCAGTTTGTGTCTCTCTACATGAAGAGGGTTTTCTTCATTGATGACAGCGGACCACCTCTCGGTCACATGATCCTGGCCTTTGGAGGTGGGTTATTAAAATACCAACACAGCCCTTTGTGAGTGTACAGCTATATTTATACTTTGCTCCAACATGTGCTTCTGCTTTTGCTGTTTCAGCGTACCTGGGAGGTTTTGATGGGAACTTTGTGTGGAACAGAATTGGAGCAGGTACAAATCCCCAAAAATGATTTCATCCAGTTAGAGGTTAAATCGGAAAATTTGTTAATCTATATAAACCAGCGTGTACCACCTTCTTTTTTTTTTTTCTTTCTTTTTTTTTTTTTTTTTGAAACCAGTTTCTATATTTCCTCCTGTCTAACTTGGTTTTGGTCTGTTTAAAAGTAGTGTGTGTTTGTTTTGTTTTGCAGAGTATCCTAGCACGGTGAATGTGTGGAGTCTGAGGCTTCTGCCGGCCCTTTGTGGAGCTCTCTGTGTTCCTCTGGTCTACTTGTTGACTCTAGAGTTGAAGTTCTCCCACCTGTCTGCTCTGGGAGCTGCAGTGCTGTTGCTGCTGGGTGAGTGCGTCCATGCTGAGTAAGAGTTAACGTCTTCCTGCTGAAAAGCCTTTTAGCTGCTGCTTTTTATAAACCAGTGAAGTGATGCTTTCCCGGTGAATATGCAGCCGGGTTGCTCTTTTCAGTCAAGTCTGATTTTGGATCTTTGCTGTTCCAGAGAACTCTCTGATTGTCCAATCACGTTTCATGTTACTTGAGTCTGTCCTCATCTTCTTCGTGCTCCTGGCTTTCTTCTCATACCTGCGCTTCCACAATGCGCCCAGCAGGTTAGTCTCAGATTTCTGTTCTCATGTGTAGAAAGTGTAGACTGTAAATTTAAAGATGGCTTTAGCCACTGTAATGTTGCCCACTGGTTTGTTTTGAAGCCCTCAGTTATAGTTTTATGGTGGCCACCTTCTTATTTTTACTAGTAAGTGGAGTGCTAAATTATCAGCTAATGCTAGCAAGTTTGGTTAACTCAGGGACTTTAAACCATGTGGAAGTGCCAAAAACTGCAGTTCCTCATGTATGGTTCAAAAATCAGACTTCATTTTTATAGTGTTTGACTTAACTGCATTAAAAACTACATCAACAGCCTTTTAGAAAAAACATTTGTAGTTGTCAAAGGTTGTCATTTCTGGCTTCAAAAACGGCACAAAAGCCAAAATGAAACTTAAAAACAGATTTTCTCAAACCAAAGGATTAATTATACTTTGTGTAGTTTTAGATACAGTAGAAATGAATGTATCACACACATACACATGTCTGCTAATTAGTGCAAATAAAATACTACAATTTCACTCATCAAAACGGGAACACAAACTTCACAGATAAGCTGTTAGCA